ATGAATTCCGATTCGATGTTAGAGTCGGCGCCCAATACAACTCTGCCTCGTGTGGACCACGTGACCAGGACAAGTAAACATAAAAAAATGGAAACAATAAAAATGCAAATTATTAACTAATTAATTTATTAAAAGAAAAACTAAAACAAAATCTAAATATGTTCACTCCCTGTCACTTTAACACTCCCTACTTGACCTGAATGGCAAATGAGAAGACTATCCCTATAATTAACAATAGCAACTATACCTTGGGCGACCAGCTCTAGATGTTGGGGTGGTCTTGGGGAGAGGTAAGATGGTTGACCTCTCCCAGTTGATCTGGTGTCCACACTGATCTGTCCTCGTCTGGTCTAGCCCAGACTAGAGCATTGTATTGTTCTGCATAGACTAAGTTTTACCAAGTTACTTAGCCAGGTTTAAGTTATAACAATTAACCTCTGTTGTACTTAATTGATCCAGACTGGTTAAATTATTTTACTGAAATTAAATTACACAAGCATCTAACGGCAGAGCTGTTCCCGATCCCCAAAATGGTTAATTGAACTTTGAGAAATAGTAGACATGTCAACCCTGATGACCTCTGACCGCCGGTCACTCCGCCTTACAACTTAGATCTGATTCGTGACGTCACTGATGGTGACTTAAACTCTATAATTAGAATACTCTTGATATTATAACCAGGAATATTATACAATACAATTTTAATACAAAATGAATAAAGGCTAATTTCTCTAAATTACTGAATACTATAGGATGATTCATTATACGCAACTATGAACAGAGACGCCCGCCATTTGTGACTCAGACCTGCTAATCCCCAGGGGAACGTGCGTTGTTGAGATCAGGTCCTTACACGAAAATTCTGGAACCTTCTGGAATAATTCTTACAACAGCCTAGTTTGTTACAACCCCCCCGCACAAGCACTTAGTAAACCTTGTTAATTTGTTAAAAATCACGAGGTTTAGTATCCAAACCCACAATTCAACTCATGCCACAAACAAAAGCTAACCTAACTAATAAAATTTGACAAATATTTGAGTGTCCAACATCAACATGTTTAAATTCATAAATTTCTCAGCTGTCAACTGACAGCAATCCTCTAACATCAGGAAACATACATCCTATCCTTACTGACATAGCTAAATAACATGGCCCTACTCTACCATCAAAGACTAGCTATTAAACTCTCTTGGCTCTTCACTAGCCAAGTCCATGTGTCCTCTAGAGCCGGCCACACCGTGCTCAAACATAAACATTAAAGTTATATCTTCAGACTGAACTTTCAGTCATCCGGGAGCGTACTACGGAACTATCAGGTTCACATCCGTGTACTAACCACTCCCCATGAATGTCAACCTTGACATGCTAAGGAACACACCTAACGTTTATTACATGTATCTAAAAATAAAAAAAAATTCCTATACTATATCATACTATACTATACTATACTATACATACTATACTATATTCCTATACTATACTATATCCCACCGCTGCCACCATTGTAACACGGGGAGGGTTTCTCAACTAATCTTTCCTTCTACTCTCCCTCTACCCGTATTCTTACTCTTTATATCTCTACAAGGGACTCCAAAACTTTTACCAAAGCCAACTCCACGCCACGTGGTCCTAAGACGATTGACCGACTTAGGATTCTACAACCAGTATGACGTGACCTAGGCTTTGAGCAAAACCCTAGAGTCGCCTCCGCCGCCACCACCAGACCAGTAACAGCAATGATCGAGGTCTGGATCGATAATGCGAATTAATCAACCTTGGGGCTTGATCCCCACTATAACCGATGACCTTGAGTGTGGAATAAATTACACGGTAATGATGAATTCCGATTCGATGTTAGAATCGGCGCCCAATACAACTCTGCCTCATGTGGACCACGTGACCAGGACAAGTAAACATAAAAAAAATGGAAACAATAAAAATGCAAATTATTAACTAATTAATTTATTAAAAGAAAAACTAAAACAAAATCTAAATATGTTCACTCCCTGTCACTTTAACACTCCCTACTTGACCTGAATGGCAAATGAGAAGACTATCCCTATAATTAACAATAGCAACTATACCTTGGGCGACCAGCTCTAGATGTTGGGGTGGTCTTGGGGAGAGGTAAGATGATTGACCTCTCCCAGTTGATCTGGTGTCCACAATGATCTGTCCTCGTCTGGTCTAGCCCAGACTAGAGCATTGTATTGTTCCGCATAGACTAAGTTTTACCAAGTTACTTAGCCAGGTTTAAGTTATAACAATTAACCTCTGTTGTACTTAACTGATCCAGACTGGTTAAATTATTTTACTGAAATTAAATTACACAAGCATCTAACGGCAGAGCTGTTCCCGATCCCCAAAATGGTTAATTGAACTTTGAGAAATAGTAGACATGTCAACCCTGATGACCTCTGACCGCCGGTCACTCCACCTTACAACTTAGATCTGATTCGTGACGTCACTGATGGTGACTTAAACTCTATAATTAGAATACTCTTGATATTATAACCAGGAATATTATACAATACAATTTTAATACAAAATGAATAAAGGCTAATTTCTCTAAATTACTGAATACTATAGGATGATTCATTATACGCAACTATGAACAGAGACGCCCGCCATTTGTGACTCAGACCTGCTAATCCCCAGGGGAACGTGCGTTGTTGAGGTCAGGTCCTTACACGAAAATTCTGGAACCTTCTGGAATAATTCTTACAACAGCCTAGTTTGTTACATCCCCACCATCCCCCACTCCCGTCCCCTCGTCTTCCCCTCCATCCCCCACTCCCTCGTCCTATGCATTCCCAAATGATCTGATGTTCCCATCACTGAAATATAAGAAAAAAGTTAAAAAAAAACGAAATGAAAAACAATGAAAAAAATAAAAAATAAACTATACTCATGAAATGAACGGTATGGTAAACAAAACAGCTCAATTCCAACGCAATCTCACACAAAATATTTAAATAAAAATAAAAATAAATAAAAATCTATAAAAATTAAATTTATCAATTAAATCAGAAACATTGAAATGGACTGCTACGTAACATTACACAGATGCATATAGAAGCAAACTTGGCATCTGACAGCTTCACTTACTTCACAGATGGATCAGTAGACCAGCAGGGACAAGAAACTAGAGATGCAGTTAAAGCAGGAAACTCTGTAAATAGTTGGAGGCTCTCAAATGGGTGTTCGACTTTACAAACAGAGATGCTAGCAATTCAAAAGGCTGTTGAACATGCTCTTGCTGAACACTGACAACATGTTATCATACATACAGATTCGAGAACCGCCATTGAAACCTTGTAATGAGAACACATACGTGATAACATCCATCTGATCACAAATGTCATATCATTACTGCAAACATTCAAACGACAAGGCTGACGGGTACTTATCAACTGGGTTATCTTCTTCAGGTTATCTTGAGATGATTTCGGGGCTTTTTATAGTGTCCCCGCGGCCCGGTCCTCGACCAGGCCTCCACCCCCCAGGAAGCAGCCCGTGACAGCTGACTAACACCCAGGTACCTATTTTACTGCTAGGTAACAGGGGCATAGGGTGAAAGAAACTCTGCCCATTGTTTCTCGCCGGCGCCTGGGATCGAACCCAGGACCATAGCAACAGATGGTGCTGTTTAAAAAAAAAAAATGGTTTTGCCTATCACAGGTGTGTCATCTATACTTATACTCACAAAATGAACAATATGGTAAATAACACAGCTCAATTCCAACTCAATGTCACACAAAATATTTAAATAAAAAAATATTATATAAATATAAATAGATAAAAATCTATAAAAAATTCAATTTATCAATGCAATTGGAAACATTAAAATAGAATCGTAACTTATTTAGTATAGCGTGTGTGTTGCTATTACGTGCAACAGATGGCGCTGGATATGAAAAAGAGCATGTTTTTACCTGTCACCAATGTGGCATCTATATAGTAGGTATAAAGACACGCAGCGTATGTGAATGAAACGTTGTGTCAAAATTTCAAAACAATCGGTGAAGAACTTTCGGAGATTAGTGATTTTGAACAAACGAACATTTACATTTTTATTTATATAGATTAGGAACCAGCTGGAAGCCCAGAGAAGGTTTGGTTAAGTGTTGGGCTTAAGGCCTATCGACCTCTTGGAGGGTTACTGTAAGCAGTCCCTTCTCACCAGCGTCCCCAACGTCAAAAAACTGTCGTACTAAAGTGCTTTATCCTAACCTACCAGAGGACCCACGAACTGAAAACTGGACAGTACGTGAATCTCGTGCTATTAGGAGGACGTGCTATTAGGAGGACGTGCTATTAGGAGGACGGGTTGCAGTCACCACGGACGCCACTGACCAACCAGCAAGCCTGCCTTACTCTTGAACATGGTCGATGAATAAAATACACAGAAGTGTTTATACAGTAAGAAATGAAATTTCATTCACGTTGTAAATATTCCACGAGACACTTTATCTTGGAGAAATTGGGAGTTAGGAGACACGGACGGACGTGTTTAATGGGGGTTCAGGGCCCATTTGCCAACAGCGGTCCGGTCACCTAATTATTTTTCAATAATTAACTGCGTTTGATTTACTATATTTCATCATAATGAGTTGCTTTTGAACAGCGGTTACCTATGACAGTTTTTTATCGCAAAGGATCGCAATCATGGGGAAGATTGTAGGACAGCCTCGCCTAAACTCACTCTACTCCCCATTTATCAAATAAAATAAAATCATATGTATATTCAGATAAAAGTACATACATACAAGATGAGTTACAAACATAATGTTGGATTTCAAGATAGAGCTAATATATTCAATGCCTAAAGCCACTAATACCCACTTAATTCATAAGTTATACGCCCCATATCAATCCTGATAGCTAGGCGTTACAAGGTTGGTGATCTAGTTTCAGTGCTAGTAAACAACCTAGTTACAATTTTTGTTGCTTTAGTCAGGGTAGCTTGTTGGAGAGCAAGAACATACCAAAGACAAAACTAGTGCACGAGCTGAGGCTGTCGATAGGTGCCACAGCTTATTGCAGAGATAGCCGAGGGTGCTGGATAGTACCCGAGGGTGTAGGGAGGTGGCCGAGGGTGTTGGATAGTACCCGAGGGTGTAGGGAGGTGGCCGAGGGTGCTGGATAGTACCCGAGGGTGTAGGGAGGTGGCCGAGGGTGTTGGATAGTACCCGAGGGTGTAGGGAGGTGGCAGAGGGTGCTGGATAGTACCCGAGGGTGTAGGGAGGTGGCCGAGGGTGTTGAATAGTACCTGAGAGTGTAGGGAGGTGGCCGAGGGTGCTGGATAGTACCCGAGGGTGTAGGGAGGTGGCCGAGGGTGTTGTATAGTACCCAAGGGTGTAGGGAGGTGGCCGAGGGTGTTGTATAGTACCCAAGGGTGTAGGGAGGTGGCCGAGGGTGTTGTATAGTACCCAAGGGTGTAGGGAGGTGGCCGAGGGTGTTGTATAGTACCCAAGGGTGTAGGGAGGTGGCCGAGGGTGTAGGGAGGTGGCCGAGGGTGTTGGATAGTACCCGAGGGTGTAGGGAGGTGGCCGAGGGTGTTAGATAGTACCCGAGGGTGTAGGTAGGTGGCCGAGGGTGTTGGATAGTACCCGAGGGTGTAGGTAGGTGGCCGAGGGTGCTGGATAGTACCCGAGGGTGTAGGGATGTGGCCGAGGGTGTTGTATAGTACCCAAGGGTGTAGGGAGATGGCCGAGGGTGTTGGATAGTACCCAAGGGTGTAGGGAGGTGGCCGAGGGTGTTGGATAGTACCCAAGGGTGTAGGGAGGTGGCCAAGGGTGTTGGATAGAACCCGAGGGTGTAGGGAGGTGGCCGAGGGTGTTGGATAGAACCCGAGGGTGTAGGGATGTGGCCGAGGGTGTTGTATAGTACCCAAGGGTGTAGGGAGGTGGCCGAGGGTGTTGGATAGTACCCAAGGGTGTAGGGAGGTGGCCAAGGGTGTTGGATAGAACCCGAGGGTGTAGGGAGGTGGCCGAGGGTGTTGGATAGTACCCGAGGGTGTAGGGAGGTGGCCGAGGGTGTTGGATAGTACCCGAGGGTGTAGGGAGGTGGCCGAGGGTGTTGGATAGTACCCGAGGGTGTTGGATAGTACCCGACGGTGTAGGGAGGTGGCCGAGAGTGTTGGATAGTACCCGAGGGTGTAAGGAGGTGGCCGAGGGTGTTGGATAGAACCCGAGGGTGTAGGTAGGTGGTCGAGGGTGTTGGATAGTACCCGAGGGTGTAAGGAGGTGGCCGAGGGTGTTGGATAGTACCCGAGGGTGTAGGGAGGTGGCCGAGGGTGTTGGATAGTACCAGAGGGTGTAGGGAGGTGGCCGAGGGTGTTGGATAGTAACCGAGGGTGTAGGGGGGTGGCCGAGGGTGTTGGATAGTACCTGAGGGTGTAGGGAGGTGGCCGAGGGTGTTGGATAGTACCTGAGGGTGTAAGGAGGTGGCCGTGGGTGTTGGATGGTTTCTGAGGGTGTAGGGAGATGGCAGAGGGTGTTGGATGATACCTGAGGGTGTAGGGAGGTGGCGGAGGGTGTAGGGAGGTAGCCGAGGGTGTTGGATGATTCCTGAGGGTGTAGGGAGGTGGCCGAGGGTGTAGGGAGGTGGCTGAGGGTGTAGGGAGGTGGCCGAGGGTGTTGGATAATTCCTGAGGGTGTAAGGAGGTGGCCGAGGGTGTTGGATAGTACCTGAGGGTGTAGGGAGGTGGCCGAGGGTGTTGGATAGTACCCGAGGGTGTAGGGAGGTGGCAGAGGGTGTAGGGAGGTGGCAGAGGGTGTAGGGAGGTGGCCGAGGGTGTTGGATAATACCTGAGGGTGTAAGGAGGTGGCCGAGGGTGTTGCATAGTACCTGAGGGTGTAGGGAGGTAGCCGAGGGTGTTGGATAGTACCCGAGGGTGTAGGGAGGTGGCAGAGGGTGTTGGATAGTACCCGAGGGTGTAGGGAGGTGGCGGAGGGTGTTGGATAGTACCCGAGGGTGTAGGGAGGTGGCGGAGGGTGTTGGATAGTACCCGAGGGTGTAGGGAGGTGGCCAAGCGTGTTGGATAGTACCTGAGGATGTAGGAGGTGGCCGTGGGTGTTGGATAGTACCTGAGGGTGTTGGGAGGTGGCTGAGGGTGTTGGGAGGTGTTTGAGGGTGTTGGAAGGTGGCTGAGGGTGTTGGGAGGTGGCTGAGGGTGTTGGGAGGTGGCTGAGGGTGTTGGGAGGTGTTTGAGGGTGTTGGAAGGTGGCTGAGAGTGTTGGGAGGTGGCTGAGGGTGTTGGGAGGTGGCTGAGGGTGTTGGGAGGTGTTTGAGGGTGTTGGGAGGTGGCTGAGGGTGTTGGGAGATGGTTCAGGGTGTTGGGAGGTGGCTGAGGGTGTTGGGAGTTGTTTGAGGGTGATGGGAGGTGGCTGAGGGTGTTGGGAGGTGGCTGAGGGTGTTGGGAGTTGTTTGAGGGTGTTGGGAGGTGGCTGAGGGTGTTGGGAGGTGGCTGAGGGTGTTGGGGGTGGCCGAGGGTGTTGGAAGGTGGCTGAGGGTGTTGGGAGTTGTTTGAGGGTGTTGGGAGGTGGCTGAGGGTGTTGGGAAGTGGCTGAGGGTGTTGGGAGGTGGCTTAGGGTGTTGGGAGGTGGCTGAGGGTGTTGGGAGGTGTTTGAGGGTGTTGGAAGGTGGCTGAGAGTGTTGGGAGGTGGCTGAGGGTGTTGGGAGGTGGCGGAGAGTGTTGGGAGTTGTTTGAGGGTGTTGGGAGGTGGCTGAGGGTGTTGGGAGTTGTTTGAGAGTGTTGGGAGGTGGTTGAGGGTGATGGGAGGTGGCTGAGGGTGTTGGGAGGTGGCTGAGGGTGTTGGGAGGTGGCTGAGGGTGTTGGGAGGTGGCTGAGGGTGTTGGGAGTTGTTTGAGGGTGTTGGGAGGTGGCTGAGAGTGTTGGGAGTTGTTTGAGGGTGTTGGGAGGTGGCTGAGGGTGATGGGAGGTGGCTGAGGGTGTTCGGAGGTGGCTGAGGGTGTTGGGAGTTGTTTGAGGGTGTTTGGAGGTGGCTGAGGGTGTTGGAAGGTGGCTGAGGGTGTTCGGAAGTGGCCGAGGGTGTTGGGAGTTGGCCGAGGGTGTTGGGTGGTGGCCGAGGGTGTTGGGAGTTGGCCGAGGGTGTTGGGAGTTGGCCGAGGGTGTTGGGTGGTGGCCGAGGGTGTTGGGAGGTGGCCGAGGGTGTTGGGAGTTGGCCGAGGGTGTTGGGAGTTGGCCGAGGGTGTTGGGAGGTGGCCGAGGGTGTTGGGAGGTGTTTGAGGGTGTTGGGAGTTGGCCGAGGGTGTTGGGAGTTGGCCGAGGGTGTTGGGAGGTGGCCGAGGGTGTTGGGAGGTGGCCGAGGGTGTTGGGAGGTGGCCGTGAGTGTTGGGAGGTGGCGGAGGGTGTTGGGAGGTGGCCGAGGGTGTTAGGAGGTGGCCGAGGGTGTTGGGTGGTGGCCGAGGGTGTTGGGAGGTGGCCGAGGGTGTTGGGAGGTGGCGGAGGGTGTTGGGAGGTGGCCGAGGGTGTTGGGAGGTGGCCGTGGGTGTTGGGAGGTGGCGGAGGGTGTTGGGAGGTGGCCGAGGGTGTTGGGAGGTGGCCGAGGGTGTTGGGTGGTGGCCGAGGGTGATGGGAGGTGGCTGAGGGTGTTGGGAGGTGGCGGAGGGTGTTGGGAGGTGGCCGAGGGTGTTGGGAGGTGGCCGTGGGTGTTGGGAGGTGGCGGAGGGTGTTGGGAGGTGGCCGAGGGTGTTGGGAGGTGGCCGAGGGTGTTGGGTGGTGGCCGTGGGTGTTGGGAGGTGGCCGAGGGTGTTGGGAGGTGGCGGAGGGTGTTGGGAGGTGGCCGAGGGTGTTGGGAGGTGGCCGAGGGTGTTGGGAGGTGGCCGAGGGTGTTGGGAGGTGGCCGAGGGTGTTGGGAGGTGTCCGAGGGTGTTGGGAGGTGGCCGAGGGTGTTGGGAGTTGGCCGAGGGTGTTGGGAGGTGGCCGAGGGTGTTGGGAGGTGGCCGAGGGTGTTGGGAGGTGGCCGAGGGTGTTGGGAGGTGGCCGAGGGTGTTGGGAGGTGGCCGTGGGTGTTGGAAGGTGTCTGAAGGTGTTGGGAGGTGTCTGAGGGTGTTGGGAGGTGTCTGAAGGTGTTGGGAGGTGTCTGAGGGTGTTGGGAGGTGACCGAGTGTGTTGGGAGTTGTCTGAGGGTGTTGGGAGGTGGCCGAGGGTGTTGGGAGGTGGCTGAGGGTGTTGGGAGTTGTCTGAGGGTGTTGGGAGGTGGCTGAGGGTGTTGGGGGGTGGCCGAGGGTGTTGGAAGGTGGCTGAGGGTGTTGGGAGTTGTTTGAGGGTGTTGGGAGGTGGCTGAGGGTGTTGGGAAGTGGCTGAGGGTGTTGGGAGGTGGCTTAGGGTGTTGGGAGTTGTTTGAGGGTGTTGGGAGGTGGCGGAGAGTGTTGGGAGTTGTTTGAGGGTGTTGGGAGGTGGGTGAGGGTGTTGGGAGTTGTTTGAGAGAGTTGGGAGGTGGTTGAGGGTGATGGGAGGTGGCTGAGGGTGTTGGGAGGTGGCTGAGGGTGTTGGGAGGTGGCTGAGGGTGTTGGGAGGTGGCTGAGGGTGTTGGAAGTGGCTGAGGGTGTTGGGAGTTGTTTGAGGGTGTTGGGAGGTGGCTGAGAGTGTTGGGAGGTGGCTGAGGGTGTTGGGAGGTGGCTGAGGGTGTTGGGAGGTGGCTGAGGGTGTTGGGAGTTGTTTGAGGGTGTTGGGAGGTGGCTGAGGGTGTTCGGAGGTGGCTGAGGGTGTTGGGAGTTGTTTGAGGGTGTTTGGAGGTGGCTGAGGGTGTTGGAAGGTGGCTGAGGGTGTTCGGAAGTGGCCGAGGGTGTTGGGAGTTGGCCGAGGGTGTTGGGTGGTGGCCGAGGGTGTTGGGAGTTGGCCGAGGGTGTTGGGAGGTGGCCGAGGGTGTTGGGAGGTGGCCGATGGTGTTGGGAGTTGGCCGAGGGTGTTGGGTGGTGGCCGAGGGTGTTGGGAGGTGGCCGAGGGTGTTGGGAGTTGGCCGAGGGTGTTGGGAGTTGGCCGAGGGTGTTGGGAGGTGGCCGAGGGTGTTGGGAGGTGTTTGAGGGTGTTGGGAGTTGGCCGAGGGTGTTGGGAGTTGGCCGAGGGTGTTGGGAGGTGGTCGAGGGTGTTGGGAGGTGGTCGAGGGTGTTGGGAGGTGGCCGAGGGTGTTGGGAGGTGGCCGTGGGTGTTGGGAGGTGGCGGAGGGTGTTGGGAGGTGGCCGAGGGTGTTGGGAGGTGGCCGAGGGTGTTGGGTGGTGGCCGAGGGTGTTGGGAGGTGGCCGAGGGTGTTGGGAGGTGGCCGAGGGTGTTGGGAGGTGGCCGAGGGTGTTGGGTGGTGGCCGAGGGTGTTGGGAGGTGGCCGAGGGTGTTGGGAGGTGGCCGAGGGTGTTGGGAGGTAATCGAGAAAGTTAGGTGAATTAGTGTGTTTATTAATTTTCTGAAAATTTGGCTTTTTTAGTCAATACTCAGATTTATTGATCAAAAGATTTGTTTAAATCACTGCTATGCTACGAGAGATACGGTTTTGCATATATCAGATCCATATAATATTCAGTGTTGGGACGTTATTTTAATATCGTCATTTGCTTGGGAATTGAAATTTACTACATTAAAAATGACCGTTGTTGTGTTCTCAAATATGTGTCATAATCGTTGCAGGTGTAGGCGGGATTACCTGTGTTGCGCTGCTGCCATATTTCCGCAGAAGTCTCATAGTTTCGTGTTTTTAACCGCCACAAATTATGCACATCTTAATTGCCCTGGTATAATTTAGGCTATCGTACACTAGCTTGTGTGTTGCTAAGTTATATATGATATTTTTCTGGGTTACAGTGTACATTTTTGTGTACATCTTGGCCAGGTAATGAGAAGCAGAGCTCGGCGCGGAGCGACGGCGGCAGTTTGCCTTAGTCAGTCGTGAGTGGTGGACGTATTTATTTCCTCTTCTATTTTTCTTCAGTGAAATTTATTAAGTTATTCGAACGTACCGAAAAAGAACATTCATTCTCCTTATTACGACTTGTGTGTGATAATCAAAATGTCTTCTTCAACGAGTGATATACAGGATAAAGTAAGGGCAAATCTGTTTGTTAGTATACGAAGAAAGAAAGAGAAGTTGGAGACGTGCAGCTTGGAGAGGAAGACGGAAAAGAAGGCAACAGACGATAACTACTTCACCTTGAGACGTCAACGTTGGGTGAGTGTTATTGTGCTTTAAGGTCGCCTCGTTCCGGGTCATGTGTTCACGTGTTGGTATATTAGGATAAGTTTAGTAGTGTCGTCGACCACAGTTGTGTAGCGTGTGGTGCTCGGTACCCTCCACTCTGCTCTACTGTGTCCGCCAACATTACACACGCGAGTATCCTGCTTTCCTTTAATGTATATTAAGTATGATGATGCATGCATAAACATTATTCCCGTAGGTCGTGGACTGCACTATTGCATCATACCGGTCATACTCCATCTTACACCTCCCAGGAATGTTTGCCATTTGAGCCGCACCGTAACTGTGCAATGTTTACGTACAATTATTACACAAAATTTTAATTTATATAAGAATTATAAAAACGCTAAAGAAAATACATTTGAACAAATATAAACTTTGTAATCTGGCCGTTAACTGCGCACGAAGAATTAAAAATAACCATTTTGGCTCAGAGTGCTGGAGTAGAATACCACTCATTTTGGCTGGTAGATACAAACTGTGAGAACCCAGCAGTAGGCCAGCAGTAGGCTAGTAATAATAGCTGTAGGCTAGTAGCAGAGAGGAAAGAGGATGTTAACCATTATAACAGATTGGGGAAAATAGCGACCAACACAAGCATATTATATGTCTAACCTACGCTTGAAACAGTGATCACGTGTCAGTTACCCAGTAATCTATTCCATAAATGAACAACTCTGCTCTTTCCAAGTCGTTGAGCACCACTCCCCCCCCGTCCCATCCCAAATCCTTAACCTTACCCCTTCCCAAGTCGTAATGACTTTGCGCTTTCCCCCTGATAGTTCCCCCTGCTCTTTCCAAACTAGTATTTACCCAGGTCTTTACAAAATTTTAGCTTGTCCAATATATATCCATAGTTTCGTGTTCTATTATGTTTAATGATTTACAACTTTTCCCTTATGGCCATTCATCCACTTACTACGAGAAGAGGCTAGAGACATTAAATATGTCAGAGGAAGAGATAGAAGAAAGAGGCTATATGATCACTACGTACAACATAATAACGGGAATCTGTACAATTTATAAATTAGAATTCCCGAGACTTGTAATTTCAAGAACAAGAGGTCATAGATTTAAATTAAACAAACCTGCCGAAGAAATAAAACAAAATTCACTTTCGTTGAGTGGTAGACGATTAGAACAAGTTAGGTGAGAAAGTGGTGGAGGCCAAAACCGTCAGTAGTTAGTTATATGAGAGAGAACTGGGAAGATGGGACACCACGAGCGTGGCTCTCATCCTGTAACTACACTTAGGTAATTACCAAGTACCTTGCCCAAATCCAAGTGTAATTTCTCCATTACCATGCCCCTTGACCTTCGTAATGCCATTCGTGAGGCGCAATGTCACTCCACACGGTTTGTTTTACCAACATTTACTTGTCATTGTATAAATCTATAGGCAGCATAACTTGTTTTGAAGCTTATATTGTGAAAGTAAGGGTATCGTCGTGGATTTACTTTGACAAATACTTAAGTTAACACAAAGATTGAAACTGTGGCCTTAAGAGTCGTTTTAAGAAAGTCAACATGACACAGTATTCGTGCGCTTGACCACAACTTGTGACCGCTTTCACCTGATGGTTACCTTTGGTCGTGACACTATTTATTTTATTGTATTTATTTATTTATTTATTTACAATAAGGTACTTTGGGTTGTGAGAGTACATAACGTGGGTGTTCTTTCATTTTTGCATTTTAACACTAACACGCACAGCGTCTCGGGCAGGTCCTTAATGTAGCAAAGAAAGTAAGAGTATTTAAAAGTACATTGTAGCAAAATTTTAGTTCAACATAATATAAATTGATGGTATTGATTATACTGGGGCATTATAATTGGGTGGGTGGGTAGAACAGGATACATTGTGAGTGAAATTAGGTACTTTTTTAATTTTGAATAAAACATAGGTTGGACAATTAATTCATTAGGAAGCAAGTTCAGTAGACTTTAAATTGCATGGAGCGTTTGCACAGATTTAGTTTGACCCTAGGGATGTCAGACTTTGGGGTGTGGTGCTCGTGGGTTCTATTGCAGTTATCAAGGAAGTTTCAGATCAGGATTAGCATTTGGGAACAAGGTTTTGTACATGCAAATATTACAGGAGAACGTGTGGAACGATAGAATGTTCACCATGTTTAAAGATTTAAAAAAAGAGTGGCTGTGTGTTCTCTGAAAACACAATTTTATATAGTTCTGATAACAGATTTTGGGTGGGGTGGTGATGGGCTTAAGGTAGTTTGCAGTGGTTGAACTCTGTGCACAGATACCGTATGTTAGATAGGGAAAGATTACAGTAGTGAGTAGTATAGTGAAAGCAGAGTGGCGAAAATTATATCTGATTTTAGAGAATATCACGACAATTTGAGATTTTTTTTGACCATGTGTTGTATGTGGGTGGTGAAGTTTAGTCTCCATGTATAGGCCAAGGACCCTTCCATCATGGTTACATATTGGTCAGTATTGTCAATATTCTCCTCTATAACCTGTGAAACATTAACAAACAACATCGTTTATTCTTTAAAGTTTTTCGTGGATTAGTGCTTTTTTTATTACTACAGTTTATTTTATTGATCTGATTTAAACTTTTGTTTAGTTCACCTATTATGCACCCCATACCCATCCTGTGAGCGGCAGTGGAAAATGGTAGTGGCACATAATGGGTTTAGGAACTGAACCACCAAAATTAATTTAGCATAGCTCTGATTGGAACGTGGGCATACAGTAATTTATTTCTTGTCGGGTTTGTTAGTTTATAGTTTAATGGACTAAATTCTTCCGCCGCCTCTTCTGTCTTGGAAGACAGAAGAGTTAGGGGGAGACGTGATCACTACCTATAAAATTCTGAGAAGAATTGACAGGTTAGATAAGGATAGATTATTTAGCACGGGTTCACCAAGCATCACATTCACTCCTATCTTTTGCCACCTGCTCATGCCTGTGTTCCCTCTTGGGTGACTTAATGTTTACAGTCAGTCAACACGGGTGGTTCTTGCACAAGGGAAACTCAACACCCAAATGAGCCACAGATACATTTCCTGATATACATGAGGGGCCACTAATACTAGTGGCCTCAACGATGACAGGAAGCCGACGGCTTGTCGAAGGTCCCCTCCCCATTTGTCGTGATCTTTTAGTTTGACTTCAAAATTTGACAGAATTTAACATTTACGGATTCGGCGGGAAGGTGGTTCGGTGGGTTTATAACAGTGTGGGTGAAAATGCATCTCATGTTTTAAGTCCTTCATTGTGGGTTAGGGAGACACCGTTGCTCCTTGTTTGTGTTACATCTGACCTATTGAAGAAATTGTCCCGGTTCTTCCGAATTGTTAGGCATTTTAAAAGTTTCAATGAGGTGCAACCTGTCATGCCTGGTTTGCAGTGATGTTAGCCCTGTGGCCCTCAACAGTTCCTGATAAGAGAGTTGACTTAGCTCTGGAATGATTTCTGTTGCGCGGTGTTGCACTTTCTCCAGAGCAGCTGCGTCTTTCTGTAGATGTGGTCTCCATGCTTTGATACAATAATCCAAATGGGGGCGCACCAGAAATTTATAAAATTGAATCACTACCTTCTTTCCTTGGCTCAACCACTTGGGCTGAACTGTAGAGCGACGGTCTCGCTTCATTCAGGTCGGCGTTCAATCCCCGACTGTCGACGTAGTTGGGCACCGTTCCTTTCCCCGTCCCATCCCAAAGCCTTAACCTGACCCCTTCCAAGTGCTATATAGTCTCAATGACTTGGCGCTTTCTCCTGATAGTTCCCTTCCCCATCCTTGGCATCAGAGGTATGCTTGATTATTTCGAGTGTTTTGACTGGTGGCCCAACCTGTTGTGCAACATTCAGCGAGGGGCGGAGTTTGACTCCAATGTCTTTTTCTTCATCAATCTGTTGTAATGAAATGTTATTAATTTGGTAGTTGTGGCGTGGGTTGCCATGCCCCACTTGCAGTCTTGCATTTGTCAATATCAAAAAGCATTTGCCAGTCCTCTTAACATTTGTGGAGTTCATGTAGATCTCTTTGTAAGGCTTCAGTGTCATTATCATTTCCCACTTTACCATAAATCTGTATTGTCTGGAAATTTGAGGTGGTTTGTAATGTTCTCATGTCATTGATGTATATGACAAGAAGGGTTGGCCCCAAATTGGACCCCTGTGGCATCCTTATTTATCCCTTACCACATTTCTCCAGTCGGGTTTATTCCCGTTTAGCACGACTGTTTTCTTTGTTTTAACCATTGTTTTATCCATTCTAGTGTTTTTCAATTTATTCCATATGCATGTAGTTTCCTTGCCAGTCATTCATGTGGTACCTTATTAGCAAAATTCATGTATACTACATCAACTGGAATTTCTTTGTTTGAGTAGCTGTTTACAGTTTCCAAAAATGTGAGCAGGTTTGTAAAGCAGGATTTATTTTTATCAACCCCACGTTGTGTTGATTTTACAAGAGTGTTCGCTGAAAGATGGTAAATGGTTCCCTCCCTGAGGATTCTCTCCATGAACTTGAACACTTAAGTATATTGTAAAATATATAGTACCCTTAGTGTATTGTATCACTTATATATAGTAGCACTTCCTACTGGTTGCACTTGGTAACTCTTCATACAAATTTATAAAGGCCTTGATGATATTAGTTACTGAAATTCTGGTAATTTAGATATGTAATAGGAATTGAAATATGGAGTACCACGGATGATTACAACCGGAACCAATGGTAACTTTCCAAGGAAATGCTACCCAGGGAACTTGTTAATTAGATCATACCCACCATCCTGCCTGTCCCGTAACTATGTCAGGCAATGAGGCAAGAAACATTGCTTGACTTGGAGAGTCCTCTTTTCTTACTATCATTAATTACAGATATCCAGATGATAAGAGGATCTAACAACTGACACAGACGGAAAGTTTAACATGAGATTATTGAGAATGAAATGATATTCACCAACTATAAATCCCTACTCTAACACTGGCAAAACGT